GAAGTGAGAATTACCTCGCAATGTCCTTGTTTGACAATCAGCAGTTAGCGGATTATATTAGCGAATTTGACCAGCGAATTATATCAACGGTTGGTGAAAAGATATTTGAAAAAATTAGCTATTTAGATTAACATGTAAAATGACCTAAGGGTATATATATATATATATATATATATATATATAATTGTTTTTAAAAAAATAATTAAGCCAATCATATTAACTACTTGGGGAATTTATTGACAAAAAGCGTATTTAAATCACACAACAAATTGAAGTGGAAAACTATCTCGCAATGTCCTTGTTTGGCAGTTAGCTCTTCAATATTAGTATATATGGAGTATTTAATATTTTGTGTCCTAATTTTTATTTGCTCTCCCTTATGTCCCGTATTTGGTTTCAACCATACCTATACAATGATTTTATTGACAATTATAATCAATTTTGACTATATTATCTTGCTTTTGTAAACTTAGAATTGCCTATTTAATTACACAAATTTAACATTCAATTATCTATGCATGAACAATTTCAATATAATATTGCCTTGATATAGTACTTATTTAAAAAAAAAAAAAAAAAAAAAAAAAAAAAAAAACATTGGGCATTATCCCGAACGCGCAATGCGCGTGTAAAACTAGTATATAAAATAAGCATGTTAGAGTAATTCATTTTCTCTATTGGTTCTCTCTCTTCCATCATTAATTTCTTTTTCTTGGGTAGAGTAATATCCCAACCTTTGCAGATGTTTTCTACCATTTCTCTCTCTTGGTTCTCTCTCTGCCACCATGACATTTTACCCTCAAAAGTAGTGAATTTTCTCACATTTCTCATCTGGTGTAGATGCTCTTATGCACCAACTCAGAGTCAATCCACCACAAAAGATCATATTTCTTGAATAGTATCAAAAGTTAGAAACGTATTAACGGTAAATATGTTACCTGAGAATATAATCTAAAAGTAACAAGTTGTATTGTTATGTATTTTCAGTAGAGAATTAGAACGTGTCTCTACTCAACAAAGATTTCTCTACTTATACTAAGTCTTCTAACGGTGAATAACGTCACATCATAATGAGGAGCCGAGCACTTATTTCTTTGTCTTGAATGAGCGGTAGTAAATGATCTGTAGTAAATGATTTTGCCCGTTGGACTTCTTCTTCTTTGACTAATAATAATAATAATAATAATAATATAATTCCATCAATAGTCGTAACTTATGTATAAAAATTTATATATATATATATATATATATATATATATATATATATATATATATATTTCCAAATGTTTATGTCGTTTTTTAAAATTTTATGCTATATATCCTGGGGTCAAATCAAGGGCGGATCTACAACGAGACATTTGTCATGTGTGTGTGTGTGTGTGTGTGTCCATGCTCTAGTGCGACGTTGCTTTCCCATGCGGTCATGCAACTGTAGGATAAGCTGAGATGGAACGGATGGAAATCAATGAAGAAGAGAAAATACGTAGTGGCAATTTCATAATTTATTACACTATGTATATTTCGGTGGTGCATTATGTGCTAGCATGTGGTGCATTTATAAGTGCTATGTGCGTGGTGCACATAGTCTGTAGTGCACTTAGTATTGCACCATTCAACGGGGGTGTCAAACCCGTCAACGAGTTCAATAGACTCGTCAGCGAGGTGCATTACGTGCTAGTATGTGGTGCATATATAAATGCTTTGTGGTGCATGTTTTAGTGATATGTTGGGCTCTTGATTTGTAGTGCACTTAGTATTGCACCACTCAACAGGGGTGTTAAACCCGTCGACGGGTTCAATAGACTCATCAGCGGGGTGCATTACGTTCTAGTATGTGGTGCATTTATAAGTGCTCTATGGTGCATTTATAAGTAATACGTGGTACACTTGATTTGTAGTGCACTTAGTATTGCACCACTAAACGGGGCTGTCAAACCCATCGATGAGTTCAATAGACCGCATTAGACCCGTCAGCGGGGGTGCATTACGTGCTAGTGTGTGGTGAATTTATAGTTGCTATATGGTGCATTTTTTGGTGATACGTGGTGTACTTGATTTTTAGTGCATTTTTTCCGCTTTGATTGATTTTCAACCACCTGGTGGTGCACCACAGAGCTCTTATAAGTGCACCATACACCAACACTTAATGCACCACTAAAACATACATGGTTGACAAAATTACAAAATTGCTCCCACATTTTTTCTCATCTTCATTGATTTCCATTGGTCTGATCTGATCTCATCCTACGGTTCTAATATACCCGCACGAGAGAACATATAGAAGTTACTTATATATAAAATCTAAATTTATGTACAAATTGCTAAATGTTTGAGTTGCTTAGTTAGTTGGAACTTTAAACTTGAAACCAAATATTTTATATCACCGGTAGCATTTTCCCTTTTATTTAGTTTTAGTATCTCTCCTTTATTTTAACTTTTCCATCAATTCACAAGACAAATTAAATATTTTTTTGGTCTACTTTTTATGAATCATTTAGTTAATGTAGTATACAAGTTTAGGAAAAAAAGAAATTAAAATTAAAAAGTATTTATGAATAGTGTCTTTTCTATGCAAATTATTTTATCTAATGTTTCATATTTTTTCATAAATATTTTTTATAGCATTTCAAAGTGTTTTGAAATTTCACCTCATTCAAGTATATTTTTAGCTCCGTCCCAAATTATCATGTAGTCTATCATAAATATTGTATTGTAATTTATAATGTATTTTGTATTTTGTATTTAAACATTATTATAAGTGTTTGATATTTTGTTGTTGATACTTCTAAAGTCATTTGAACTTCCCCACTCAAATAATTTTCTAGATGCCCCTAGATCAAACCCCACCAATAGCATTGCCCTTTATTTTAGCTTTTCTAACCCATCACTAGAGGGGAGGAACTTTATTTTTAAAATTCATTTGAACTTAGCTATTTTAACTTCTTTAGAAAAAAATCCTTCATTAACGGGAAGAGAATATATTTGTGATTCATATCAAGTTTTAAAAATTTTGATATTTTGTTATAAACATTTTTGAATTTATCTTAACTTCGTCCCTACTCAAAAAAATTCATGAATCCTCCCGTGTTCACATTAACTCATAAATTCTGCATCTTTAGGAGTAAGCAAAGAGTCTTGAGTAATATTCTTGGCCACACAAAAGTTTCCATAATGGTTGCTGATGATCCATCCAAATCTGATTTTTTGCCTGTTTAATTAAGTCTAAAGTTGCATTGTGTTCAATTTAACACAACCAATTGGTGGGTTTTTCCAGGAGACTAAGAAACAGGTGTTATTTATTTATTTATTATTTTTGAAATATTTTAATATAATTATAATTTTAACATTAATTAACAATGTTGGGTAATTACTTTTGTAAGATAATGTATATGAAACAATGGAAGTATGATTATGAAACATATAACATATTACATGAATAAATCCCTAATATTAAGATTATTATTATTTGGTAAAAGAAACCTTTTAAAAAATTGATGGTAACAATAGGTTACAAATTTCTCCCCAGGTGAGTAAGCATGTTCAACTTTCAGTCTTGAGAAGACTCGTCAAAGAAAGACTGAAAGGTATGCCTCTCAAGTCTCAAGTCTCAAACGGGATTAGAAATAGACTAATATTGACTTGGAATTTGGAATGTCAAAGTTCAACTTGTAAAGACTTAATGCCTGATTTAAATTTGATTCTTGACTATCGTTCTTATCAAATTAATTAAATTTTTAATTTTGAGAATTAAAATTTTCACAATTTTGTGTTCCGTTATCATTCTACAACTCAAATTGACTATCATCCTACGGCTCAAATTGACGGGAAGATCAGATAAAATTGGGTAAGTTTTTCAAAGTTGATGACTTAATTTGATAAGGATAATAGTCGAGGACCAAATCAGTAATTTTGTTATAGTCAAGAGACCAAATCGGTCATTAACTCACTTGTAAACTACCACCAATGCCAAAATTGAAGAATTTTGCCGAAAGGATAGCCAAATAAGTGAAGTATTACAAATTTGATTCTTATCAACTTCTTTTGGTGGATATATCTTGATTATCTTCTTAGTGCACTGAGGACTAAATTGAAAACAACCACAATAGATGATGATTTATTTTAACAATTTTTTTTATTAGAGAAAAAGTCTACACTGACTACCCGAAAGTACATTCTAAGTGAAGTTCATCGTGTGACTCTAGCTTACAAGGAACTATAAAGAGATAAACTAGTCTAAGTTGTACATAGTTAACCAGTTTAAACCAATGAGGCCAATAGACAGCTTCCTCAAAAACTAAACTTAGATCCTTATAATCATTCGGCTAACTGTCCAACCGACTCGAAAAAAGTTAGCCACACTTAACAATTTGTAAAATCTACTATAATCATTTATGGGATTACACCTATAGCAAAAAGGACCATTTCTATGATTAACTCTATTCAAAGTTCTAGCTAACTATAACATAACACTGATGGTGAGTATTATATACGCAAATATATGAGTAGTCATTATTGTTGGGAATTTAAATTGCACAAATCTACTATAATCATTTATGGGATTACACCTATAGCAAAAAGGACCATTTCTATGATTAACTCTATTCAAAGTTCTAGCTAACTATAACATAACACTGATGGTGAGTATTATATACGCAAATATATGAGTAGTCATTATTGTTGGGAATTTAAATTGAAGAGACTAATTAATATATCCAAACTGGATCAGATTTGTTATTCTGGGCAGACTCATCTGATCCAAAGTATAGATTAATCTACACTTTACTAATAGGAAGAGGAATGATGAGATAGAATTGACAGAGCGACGCACAAAACAGGAATGATGATGGAGTTGAAACACCCAAAAAAGGCACGACAAAGTGAGACCAGACCACCTTAAAGGAATATAGACCAACAAAATAAATGTTTTTTTTTTTTTGGTTTAAATAGTCAAAGAATGCGCATCCAATCTATACGTATACTATAAGCATAATAATACAGTATATACACAGTGGTCTGCGTTGCATGATCTTGATCAAAAAGGCAAACAGGAAAGAGAAGTCGCTGCTTAAAGTCTCATTCCTTTGGATCCCAAATCACCATTTCAAAATCACCTTTTCTTGAAATTCTTGCGAAGAAAAATGGGTGCCCGCTGCTCAAAGTTCTCTTTTTGCTGGTGGAACTCCCACCTCAAGCCTTCCCTTCTCGACTCCTCGGATCTTGGTACAAACATTTGACGTTTTATGTTTCTATTTTTGTTGTCGATAAGGTGATGGGTGAGTAACCTTGGTGGATTGCAGAGAATAATGGGGAGAAAAATGGGTGGCCGAGCTTTACAGAGTTCAGTTTCGAGGAGCTGAAAGCGGCGACCAGTGGGTTTTGTTTGGACAACATTGTATCTGAGCACGGAGAGAAAGCTCCCAATGTGGTCTTCAAGGGGCAGCTCAGAAATGGGCGATGGGTAGCGGTTAAGCGTTTCAACAAGTATGCTTGGCCTGATTCTCGGCAATTCATGGTGAGTGGTGACCTGATCAGGTTTTGGGTGTTGGATATAATCATAAAGTTTTGTGCTTTTTAAGATTTTGAATGAGATTGTGGGATAATGTTTGGTGTTTAGGATGAGACCAAGACAGTGGGGAGTTTAAGGAGTGAAAGATTGGCCAATCTGATTGGGTGCTGCTGTGAAGGGGAAGAGAGACTGCTGGTGGCTGAGTTTATGCCCAATGAGACCCTTGCAAAGCATTTATTTCACTGTTAGTTAGTTCTTCTCTTTTTTCTTGCTATTTTCATCAAATCTTTAGCAATTGGTAAAGATCCTTTTTGTTATGTTAATGTTGATAATTGGAATTACCTCATGAAGACTCATAATCTGTGAGGTGGGTTTTTCCATTAGATCATATAATATTCTTTCTAGGGGTGACAAGGAAAACCCGCAGCACGGGGTAAATCCCGCCTTGTGACCAGGTAAACCAGCCTAGGTTGCCCATAGCTGATCTGCTCAAATCAAGAGGGTTGGGCTTTGAACTCATGACCTTGTGGTTACAAGTTTGTATCTTTAGCCATCTTGCTGGCTGGGGTTAACCCCAATCATGCAATATTCTTTGCCACGGTTCTTGATCATGGTGATTTTGTCCAAAATTTATAAGAGTTGTAGTGATGTCTTGTTTACAAGACCAATAGATTTTGATCATCTTATTGCCAAGTCTAGGATCACATTTTACTGATGTTAGCCCCATGACTGCATTGGCATAGGGGAGAGCCAGCCGATGAAATGGGCGATGAGGTTGAGGGTGGCGTTTTACTTAGCACAAGCTTTGGAGTACTGCAGTAGCAAGGGTCGGGCGATATATCATGATCTGAATGCTTACAGAGTCTTGTTTGATCAGGTGAATTTGGCTCTATCCGCACCAATGTATCTATAATTGGAAGTTATTAGTAATTTGGACGTGTCTCTCATTTCACTTAGTTTTCTGCAGGATGGTAATCCCAGGCTCTCTTGCTTCGGTCTAATGAAGAATAGCAGAGATGGAAAGAGTTATAGTACAAACCTCGCTTTCACCCCACCAGAGTACATGAGGACAGGTCAGTAATCATTTCTCGGTTAACCTTATAAAGTTTTTTTTTCTTGGGTGAAAATTTAGGCTAATGTTGAGATTAATTATGCATATGAGTGACAGGAAGAGTGACACCTGAAAGTGTGGTGTATAGCTTTGGGACTATGTTGTTGGACCTTCTGAGTGGCAAACATATTCCCCCAAGCCATGTAAATCCTTGACCACTCTATTCAATGTGATAATGAGAACTCATATATTGCTTCAATGTTGCTTTATGCCCGAATCTGAGAAACCGTTCTTCTTTGTATCCTCTTGCAGGCACTAGATTTAATCCGGGGCAAGAATTTCCTTATGCTAATGGATTCTTGTTTGGAGGGTCATTTCTCTAATGACGATGGAACTCAGCTAGTTCGTTTGGCCACGCGTTGTTTGCAATACGAAGCACGTGAAAGGCCAAACGCAAAGTCTCTTGTTGAGTCTCTTATGCCTCTCCAAAAGGAAACGGAGGTAAACTCAAGGCCAGGTTTACAATGTTCAGACACTAGACACTACATGTTCATAAATTTAAAGCTTAATATTCATAAGAGTTAATTTCACTTTTGGTCCTACGACTATTGGGGTCTTGTTAATTTCAATCCACGACTTTCAAAACTGTTAATTTAGTATGTTGATTTCTAAAGCCTCATAGTGTAATGTACTATCTACAGGTGCCATCATATGTTCTGTTGGGTATCCCTCATGGAACCGCAAGTCCATCGCAGCCATTGTTGTTGACACCGATGGGCGAAGCATGCTTGAGAGTGGATCTTACCGCGTTTCATGAAATATTGGAGAAGACGGGATACAAGGATGATGAAGGAATTGCCAATGAGGTTTGTTTTTATTAAAACACCACCATATAGATCACACATAGCAATTAGATTGTTCTTCTGAGTACATGTCAGTCGATCTAACAGTGTTTACTTCAATTCTCCAGTTTTCCTTCTTTATTTCAAATTAGAAAAGCGTATTTAAATTTACTTTTGTTTCTCCAAATTTCCATTTCTCGGGTTATACCCATGTGGTGCATTATAGAATGAGTGTGGGAAGGATTTGGGGGAGGGGACATTTCCCAAAAATTAAGAAAAGAAATCCCGGGAAATAATGGGATATGTATTGTTGATATGATGATATATATGAGTGATGATTATGTTTCTCAACCTTTGACATTACTCTTTGATCAGCCATGAAAGCTGTCACCTAGCTTTTCCCTGTTGCACCACCTAATACCATTTTCCATGGGACCGGACCTACTTTGATATCATTGTCAACCCTCCTTGAAATGATTTCATAAGCACTTTGCATACCATACTATTGTTGCAGAAGAATGAATATATTCTTGGGCGGAGGCCGGTGAATGGTCAAATCCAGCACTCTATTTCTCGAAAATGTAGTGGCAGTATATATAGAAATAAAGTTGCATATTTGCTGTGAGCTATAGCTTTTAACGCAGTGGTAAACGCTTGATCCTAATGCATTGCAGCTATCGTTCCAAGTATGGACAGACCAGATGCAAGAGACCCTGAATTCCAAGAAGCAAGGCGACTCAGCCTTCCGGGCCAAGGATTTTGCAACCGCCATTGATTGTTACTCGCAGGTAACTCAATTAATGCGGCCACTACATACTTGTTTAAAGACAACCTTAGCCTTAGCTGCTCGTATTGATGAGGAGAGAATTGTGTTCGTGCAGTTCATCGAGGGGGGAAGTATGGTGTCGCCCACTGTTTACGCGAGGCGATGCTTGTGTTACCTGATGAGCGAGATGGCACAAGAAGCTCTGGGGGATGCACTGCAGGCTCAAGTAGTTTCGCCGGAATGGCCCACTGCATTCTATCTTCAGGCAACTGCACTGTTCAGCCTGGGGATGGAGAATGATGCCCAGGAGATACTAAAAGAAGCCACCAACTTGGAAGCCAAAAGGAACAAGAATTAGAAGCAGTTCACACTTGCATTTTCTTTATATTTATTCTTGAATTTATTATATTGCTATCTATATATATATCTCTCTTTTGGAAGACTGCTTTCATTTGCTGTAAGTTAAAGATTTGATTTACATGTTACAATGAGATTTGCCTCACACCTTGAATTTATCACATAAATTTTGCAAGTAGAGAGATAGTAATTGAACTTTTACTCTCTAAAACTATACTCATCATCTAAAAGTAGAGAATTTTTTTAACAATACAATTCACTTTCTTCATGAGAAGCCAAAGAAATCCATTTGCTTCACTACTTTAGTCCATAGCTATATATTTTTCTGTTTTGGTCTACAAAATCAATCACTTATTCTACTCAACCACTCCGACAAAACCTCATTTTACTAATTCGGTGATTGAGAAACTGTTATAAGTTGCATCTTGCTGTCAGTAAACATGAAGGCATAAAAGAATAGCAAGGGGTTTTCTCAAGTTGATGCAAATTATAGTGTTGTTTTCTAAATGCCAAAATAGATGGGGGGGTGGGGAAAAAACGCAGTTGTACTTATTTTCTTCTTCTTAGCATCCATCGAGAGATGTTGAACCAAACTCTTACATGGGAGGGCGACCACTACCAAGAAGTTGTCCAACTAGATTAGTCACCTGCAGAAAACATTTAGGGTTGCGTTTAGTTTCTGGAAAAAAAAAAATGAGATTTCTGGAAAATGAAAAACAAAATAAAATTTGTGTTTTTAGCACTGGTTCCCATTTTTCCATCTGGAAAACTGTTTTTCCTTTTTTTTTTTTTCAATTTAACAAAGGATTTGAAAAACAGATTTGAGTTCTTGTTTTCTAAATTTTGCAAATACAAAAACACAGAACTCTATCAATAATCGCTATTATTATTAGCTACAAACTTTCACATCACTTATTAATCTAGTCATCATCTAACCAACTACCTATATACCTCTACCATCACCTACCTACCATATTACCTACTTATCTACTTATCCTCCTATCACCACCACTATCCATACTATCTATATATCCACTAATATGACTACATATAATATTATCTTTTGTTTTTTACTCTATCCACGTTATTAGGGATGACAATACGCAAGTACTCATCTATTTAGTCATTTTCAAATGTGAATCCGAATACATTTAGAACTACATAAGAATGAATATTAGAAATACCCATTCCAAACCCAATTGACACTACATACATAGTACTCAAAATCATCCCGAAACCTATTATACACGCACCCACACACAATCAGATATGGGGATTTCACTACTACCTAAACCGTTTAAAACCCAACTATCAACTATTCAAACCAGCCATATTAGGGTTCTAGAGGTCGGGCACACGATATTATTTTATTCGTTGTCATCCATGGATAGTATTCCTATTGTCCGAATTAAAGCTCGGAAAATAGCACTCAAAATTTTGAATATAAAAAAAAAAATAGATATAACCTACTCAATCCAATGCACACACATAACTACACTACTCGAATTATTGTCAACTACCACTAGCATTATTTGTAGATTTAAATGAAGAAAATCAATCAATAAACACGTAGGTTTAAATAACTTCATATTTTTTCATTTCAAAAACAATATGGAAACTAAATGTTGATAAACACGTTTTTTGTTTTTTTCTATCAATTTTCTAATGGAAAAAAGAAAAATTAGAAAACTATGGAAAAAGGGGGAAAAAAATTAAAAATGGAAAACAGAAAAAGCACTAAACAGGAATGCGGGCAGCCATGTGAGTAAATTATGCCATTGGTAGTGCAGTAACTAAAACTCCAAAGATCCATAAAAATTGTTTTAAGAAAAACACTCAAATGGTTAGAAAACTTAGAAATGTGAGTTCTAAGCATTTCAAAGCCGCCTTGGACTAGGAGACTTAATTTTGTTCTTTAAACATTTTGAGACTTCTCTAGCCTAGGAAACATATTGTGATGGTGCCTAATCACGGAGGCAAGAAACTCGGATTATAACATCATTATCCCACATGACCTGTAATTTCATCTGATATTTGGTGAAAGTCTTCTATTAAGGGAATATGGAAATAGCATTAAAGTGTATGATCATAACTAGATTGTGCCAACCAATATATATATATATATATATATATATATATATATATATATATATATATATATATATATATATATATATATATATATATATATTGGAACTTAAGACACATTAAACATGTCACAAAAATATAATAAAATTAAAAAATATATATAAGGTTTATCTAGCGACTGATTAATGGCAATTAACATATTACATTTTATCATGTCTGATTAGAGTGAAGATTTCTGTTTAAGAATGGAAATTAAAGTACATGTAAAGCAGACATGTGTGAGCCCCCCAAAAAAAAATTATAATGGGTATATTAACTAGCACTGACTCAACCATTGATCCTATGTTAGGGTTAAATGCAAAGTGGAAAACTCACCTGCCAGTATTTAGAAACACAGCGGTCAATGCAACTATTTTCACCCATGTTCAACTCAGATTCTTTATACCTGAGAAGCAATTCAAGATCAGTTTCTCAAGCTATTCATGAAACAAAGTGATAAGGCTACAAGTAAAATGTATCAAAACAAACATACTTGTTCTCAATGCACTTTTTGAAACATGTATGGGTAAGCCTGAAGGAAACCAAAAGATGAATAAAAGGATTAGATAAATTCTGAATCACAGTAGCATTTTCCCAAAAAAAAAAAAAAAAAAAAATTGCATTCTTAAGGTATCATGTGAAGCCATGAAAAAGCAGTGGATCTCCACATCATTGTTTTCCAATAGGAAAGGAGTGCAAGACCACATCACCCCTTGACTTCTGTTTTAAGTAATATTCTAAACACATGACCATTTACCACAAATTAATAGAGTTTGTATCAGCTGTAAATTTAGAAAAAGGAGTGAGAAGATCGTAGTATCAGTTTCAGTTCATTTGATTACAATGTTTTACTCTTGGTAGATGAAACTGATTGGTGCAAGCCACTGAACAGTGGGGTTTCAAAGTCCATTAAAATGCTGCAAAATACCTACTTGTTAAACAATTCCACCCTGTACTCCATCTCTTTCTCAGCCATCCCAAATATCTGCACTCAATAAGAGGGGGAAAAAATCAGGAAAAACACACACACACAAATTGAAATTCTCCCCAAACAATCAAATTAATGAATGGGAAGCGTCATGTATATCGATATCCACAAACAGCTGAAAACCAAGCATTGATCACAATCACAAGCAGTATGTTACAGATACCAAATCGAAACAATACCTGCTCTTTTTCCATGGCAGTAGGGGAATTAGTAGATGCCATTATGTGTGGAGGTCTGGAGGAACAAAGAATGGTTCACCAAAAGTGGCAAAATGGAGTGTATACTTGTATCCTGGGAAGAGTGAATTGATGTGGAAGAGTAAAACCCTAGAAAATAAACACAGAGCTTCAGAGAAAAGTTTTAGCTGTAGCAAGGAGTATAGAATTTGTGGACTTGAAAATAATAGCAAAATTTCTTAAATCACTGTATTGAATTGTTCAACAAATGTTGATTTATTTTAATACTCCGTATTAAAATTTTAATGATTTTAATTTTCTCAAGATTCCAAAAATTCAAACAATTACAATTTAATAATTTAAAATTGTTCTTAAAAAAATCAAACCATTGGTTAGGAATTTAAAGGTTAGCCCATATTTTGATTAATTTATGATACAGTTCAATACAATATGGAAATTTATTCTGACAATTGGGTTGCAAACATAATGGATGCATGTTTTGTATTCTCATTTAAGAGAGAGGTATATGTCCCCAACCCCAACATCCCCGGGGGAATTTCTTCTGGGAATCCCGTCCCCTGGTTTGAGTATATATTATATATAAAATTATACCAATTTAAAAGCTTAAAACATCATTCTCAAACAATTAAAGAGCTAAAATACCAAATTAAACAAATTTTGAAAGTAAGCAACATGCCTACACAAACAGAATACAAATTACAAGTCACAATTTGGTCAATTAATACATAGAAAATCCCCATACAATCCAATTCTTCTAAATATATCAAATAACAAACTAACATACTTAACATGACTAACATACTAATTACTAGTATAGTTGTTTTATATATATAGGCAGTGAACTCTGTTTCCATATTAAAAGGGAAAAATTATACTAATGAACTTTCATATTGTTCTTTCCTAGCAATGATCAATAGTAATATAGTATTATATTCAAGCTTATTATAAATTTACAAATGAGATTGACGCTCATTTAACTTAACAAAGTGAACATGAAGTTAAGTCCATTTAGCTTATTATGAATGATATACTCTGACATTAAAGCAAAGTAAACTATATATCAAATATGTCCAGAAGTTGTATTTTGATTTTTGACCATAGAAGATGACGAAGAACAACTGGAATGGAGCGTGCAGAATTCATACAGAGTATAGAGAAGTAACAGAATTCAAAATTCATTGATGCGGAGTATAAAGAAATATAGAATTCATACGGAGTCACGACGAGCCGACGGTGTTCCTCAAATCAGAAGGTTGCGCCACAAAGAGGGTGAAAGAGGGAGTTTATTAGACTATTTTAGGGTTAATTGGTTAAGACTTCCCTTCGCAGCCTGTAACTGCCGTTGAGGCCCGTCAAAATTGCGGGCCATAAAATTTCAGGCTTTCAGCCCTTGAGTCAGCAATTATACCGGCTTTGTGGCACGTGGGCAAATTATTGGATGGACCATGGTCCACACAATTTGTGTGAACCAAGCATCAAAACGACGTAGTTTTGCCTTAATAAAAAAAAAAATCGCAGCTTGCTTGTTAATGGCGTCAAATCAGCCGTTTCTTCCTTCTGCGTTTCTTCTTTCTTTCTGTGACTCAACCATTTGCGATTTCTTCGCGGTTTTCATTGTTTCTCTCCTCGATTTGATTCGAACTGCGCAATTTGTTTCTTCATCCGATTTGGTAATGCTATTGAATACTCATCTCGGATCATGGATAGTATTGGTGATACGAACAACATAGTAGATGCGATTGATTTGGAAGACAATATTGCAGGTTTTTACACCATTTTTTATGCAATTTATGCTTCGTTTTTTATTTTTCTTTTTATTCATTGTGTATATTTTTTTTAATGTATCGTAGGTGATTTGAATGCTTTGGTTGATGTTGATTCAATTTATCCAATTGGTGTTGATCTTAGTCATACACATCCAGGTTTGTGATTCGTGTATTGCAGTGAATGTGGTGTGATTAGGGTTTGTTTAGTCGTTTGCATACTGTACATTATATGTGTTCATAATGTACATTATACAAATAATGTACATTATTTTCATGCATAATTTCCATTACCTTTCAATTGATGTCACATGATTCATAGAATTTGGAACCGCAGTTTGCTTGAAATAGATAGAGTCAAATAGATTTTGTTGGAACTTGGTTTGGTATGGTGTTCACTAGTAATGTATAAGATAAAATAAATTCAAAAGTCAATAATTTATAGATTTTGCATTTCTTATTGATTGTTTATGTGCATTCTGTCTAATACTAGACTAAGCAATTAGTGCTTGACAGGTGATCTAGTATTTTGAATGCGACATTGAATTTGATTATGTTTCTAAATGAAAACAAGGAGATTTAAAACAACAAAAAAAAAAAAAAAAAAAAAAACAAAGAAAAAAAGAGGAAAGTAATGTTCTGAATCTGATTCCATGCTCACACTAAAAGAGACAAGTCATCTGAAAATATACATTATTTTTGTTCTTAGTGTACATTATTTGTTTCCCTAGTATACATTATTTTACGGTGCTGGTGTTTAAATGCAACAGAATTAAAATTTCATTCAATCTGAAAATGTACATTATTTTTGTCCTTAGGGTACATTATTTTTGCCTTTAGTGTACATTATTTTAAACTGTTGGTGTTTATGTGCATCCGAATGAAAAATTTCATTAATGTAGTGCATTTTGGTCATTTTGTTATAGTTGTATTTCCATTTGGTTATAGTTGTGTTTTTTTTGTAATTTTCAGTTAAGAGATAGTGGTGAGCAGTGGGGACAAGTTGAAATATCATGTTTGGCGCCCGGATATTGACATTATTCGGCATGAGGTTTGCTTTAACCTCAAGGATATGAACATTTGCTATAGTTGTAAGTTTTTTTCTGAGATGGGAATCTTATGCTCACATTGTCTACGTATTCTCAACATTAACTGCGTTGGAACAATACCTGACCAATATATATGTTGAAGGTGGACAAAATGAGTTGTTGAAGATAGGATAATGGATATTTCATCCGGTTCAAATATGTGTACGGTTGCATCTTCAGTTTGGGTTATACAAATGGGTAGGAAGTTCCAAAGATTAGTTATTTCAAGTCAAGATAACTGCAAAGCTTGTCAAGTTTGTGAGGCAGGTTTTGATGATTTTAGAAGCAATATTGAAGCTGATGTTGGTCCTATTAGTTTAGAAGACTTCGAAACACAAAGGCTGCAGTCCAATCTTCAGTTCAACAGGTTGTTTATGGGATTGTCGGGAGTGGATATCTTGTTCATTCAAGTGGTAGTAGTAGTTCAAAGTTAGTTTGTGTTAGGTCTGGATCTCAAAATATTTCAAATGATAATTGACTGTAGTTGTAATAGAATTTTGCAGGATATAGACTTGATTTAGAATTCCATGTTTGATGTTTTGGAGTGATTCACTTTTTCTTAAATATTATGATCTATCTTTATGTTTAAAATTGGTTGTTGAGTTGATTATTGAGTTTGAATACAATCAGTTGGTGCAATTTAGTAGTCCACTGAAAGGCCTATGCCACCATTTAGTTCTTTGCCATAATTTGCTGAAAATGTACATTATTTTTGTCCTTAGTGTACATTATTTTTTCTCCTAGTGTACATTATTTTCCAGTGTTAGTTTTTAAGTGCATCAGAATTAAAATTTCATTCAATATGCAAATGTACATTATTTTTATCCTCAGTGTACATTATTTTTGTCCCTACTGTACATTATTTTACACTGTTGGTGTTTAACTTCATTAGAATTAAAATTCATTCAATATGAAAATGTACATTATTTTTGTCCTAAGTATACATTATTTTTGCCCCTAATGTACATTATTTTACAGTATTTGTGTTTAACTTCATCAGAATTAAAATTTCATTCAATCTGAAAATGTACATTATTTTTGTCCTTAGTGTACATTATTTTTGCCCTTAGTGTACATTATTTTACACTGTTGGTGTTTAACTTCACCAGAATTAAAATTTCATTCAATTTGAAAACGTACATTATTTTTGTCCTTAGTGTACATTATTTTTGCCCTTAGTGTACATTATTTTACAGTGTTGGTGTTTATGTGTATCAGAATAAAAATTTTATTTATGTAGTATATTTTTTTTATATATATACATAAAAGCTAAGTAATGCATTAGGTTTTTGATAACTTTGCATTCCCTTTAAATTTTTGATGATGTGGTTAATTACTTTAGATATTAAATTTTTTTATATCTAAATTTTGCAAAATATAATATGATTAATGACATTAAAATATTACAAATGTTAAGCTTTGAATTTAAAGCATAGTACCTACTCAAATCTACTGAACATTCAATGTCATTTTGAAACATATATTTCTCTTGCTTTCTTCAGCACTTCATCTTTCTCCTCATTGATTATATTGGCAGCATTATTGTGCATGATGCATACTTTGCTTTCAAGGATCTTAGAAAAATGGCCTGCACATATATATCAAATCTGTTCACCAGATATGCACACAATTATGTATCCCAGCATGACAATTTTTACTGTAGTAGTGATCCAAATCCAATATCTTCTATCGCTTTTCTTTGCTCATCTGTTAGTTTCTCCATCAACCGTAAGAATTCGATAGGCGACATTCTAGTGTTAAGGTTGTTTTTCTCGAGATGCTACTGCTGCTCTTGGCCTCTTGTGATGTTCGTTCATTATATATTGCTCTAGCTCTCTTCCTTTGATACTTTCTCTTTGGTTGCTTAGTATCTTTGTTTGAAGTCATCTTTTGCTGTGACTAACAGGTTAGAATACTCTACATAAATGAAATTTTCATTCTGATGAAGTTAAACACCAACACTGTAAAATAATGTACACTAGGGGAAAAAATAATGTACACTAATGACAAAAATAATGTACATTTTTAGATTGAATGAAATTTTAATTTTGTTGCATTTAAACACAAGCACTGTAAAATAATGTACACTAGGGAAAAAAATAATGTACACTAGGAGAAAAAATAATGTACATTTTCAGCAAATTATGGACAAAGAACTAAATGATGGCCTATGCCTTTCAGTGGACTGCTAAATTGCACCAACTGATTGTATTCAAACTCAATAATCAACTCAACAACCAATTTTAAACATAAAGATCATAATATTTAAGAATAAAATGCATCACTCCAAAACATCAAACATTATTATATAAACTCAGAATTGATAACACCCAAAAAATGGAAGCTATATATATCAATCAGCAATGACAACTTGGGTGGTTTTCACACATTATTATAACCATGCCCAATGTTCTGATACTTTTTATACATTAGGAAAATTCTAACCCCCATTAGTTCCCAGGACACCCAATTCTTGATTTTACCATACTTAGAAATAGTAAAGCTTCTCAAACAACACAAAAAAACTTAACAAAATAGAAACTCAATCTTCCCCTCTCTATGTATACTTTTTGCCTATGATAGCTCCAGGCCGCATGGCACTAATGGTGGACATAGCCAAGCAGTTTTCTAGGCATGGCGTGAAGGCGACTATACTCACATCACACTTATACACAGCTCAGATTTCGAAAACCATCAACCGGAATAGAGAACTAGGATTGCCTGAGGGCTATGAGGACCTACCTGTCCAACACCCAATCTTCAATTCCTCACAAGTTTTCTTATGATTTAGATATTCTAGAATTGCTACATTACATGTAACATTCAACATATCAAGCATCTAAATTGGAAATATTATTGTGCTTTTTAATTTCTGGGTGTTTTGCCTCCTAAAATCACATAAAAATAAACTCAGAAAATTCAACAAAAACCTTTGGTAGAAAATGTTGCATGTTCTATGAATTGATTCACCAACAAAAAATCCAAAAAAAAAAAAAATGCAGAGAAGCCACTATAAAGGTATAAATGCATAAACCCTAGGTAGAATCCAGAAATAATATACATTCTTGTTTGAAGCTCTAGTAGGAATAATACCTTACGAATCTTTGTAGCAATGAAGCTTTTCTTCGTTTCAGCAGGAGAGACGACGAAGCGTTGGAGACGACGAAGCTCTGGAGACGAAAATGGCAGAGAATGAAGAACGCGAGAAAGAAGGTGAAGTGCGGGCACATCTCTGGTAATACAATAACAATTAGAAAAAAATAAATAAATTAAAGATCTAACGGCGGCGTCTCTCCGTAAGTGGAGGGAGGCGCCGTTTTGGACCATGGTCCATGCAATAACAATTGTGGCACGTGGTTCAAAAGCGGCACCGTTTCTTTAAGTAAAGAAACAACGTGTCGTTACAGTTAATTGAGCGCGCATGTTTGGTGTATTAATTATCAACTAAAATTACAGTGTATCTAAACTGACACTGTCTTACGTATTTTTTTTATATTACCAAATAAAACTGCAATTGAATTGAAATGGAACTGTAGTTGTGTTGAAATGAAACTGCAGTGTATATAAAATGAAACCGAATAACATTTCACATATTTGAGTATATATTGTGCAATGAAACTGTAGTTATATCGAAATAATAATGTAGTTGTGTTTTAATGAAACTATAGTGTATATAAAATAAAATTAAATAACAATTTTTCACATATTTGAGTGTATAAATATCGAATGAAACTGTAGTTATATCAAAATGAAACCGTAGTTGTGTTGAAATGAAACTGCAGTGTATACAAAATGAAATTGAATAACAGAGTTACTTTTTGCGGAATGGTGTGAAACGGCGCGAAACGGGTGCCGTTTCTTTTAATTAAACAAAACGATGTCGTTTAGAAGCTCGGTGCACAATCCATTATGCATGCACCGAGGTGCACGATATAATTTGCCCTCTTGAGTGCATCCTACAGCAAATTATACCATGTACACCATCTGTTTTTGTAGTTAACAATTTATGTACTTATAAATAAATTAAAAGTACATTCCAAAGTAATTATAGACACATCTATCTACATATACTATATACAATACATACACAAACTTAATAAGAGTCAATAAAGTTAAGCCCCTAACGGGAAATAAAATATGTTGGTGTAATTGTTTGTTGAAATGAATTGTTTATATTATTTTAATTTTAATATTTTTTATTATTTGTTCAATTTTACCCTCTATTATATCATCAGAGACGGAGCTGGCCTGGGGGCAACTGCCCTCACTGCCAAAAATTATACAGCCCCAAATCGACAGCGTTTTGCGGCTGTATTATATATATAATTTTTTAAAATTTTTCATTATTTCACTTTTTTCACCGCAGACCTCTCGCCTCTCTGACTCTCTCGCAGTCTCGCTACCGCCTATCGAAATTACCGGCTTCTGGCTACTTCCCCTCTCAGCCTCTCGTCTCCTCTCAGGACTCAGGAGTCCTCCGTAGCTCTGTCACTCTGTCCCTGTTTGTGCCGCACGCTCACACCTTGCCAATTGTCACCAAACACGGAACACCGCCACACCGGTGACCGATCGCCGGCGCGCTGCCTTACCGGTTAGCAGGACAACAGGAACACTGCCTCTCGTCTCCTCTCATGACTTAGGTTTGTATTTTTGCCCTAATTTGTCTAATTTTATTTTTGCCCTAATTTCCTATAACATATGTATGTGCTTTTTGTATGTTCTTTGTTCAATTTGTTGATGAATGTGAGTAGACAGAGTAGTGGTTCAACTCAATTTGTTCAATTTTTGAATGTGAATTTGTTCGGTTTATGAATGTGCTTTTTATACATGAATATGAGCACTGTTTCAACTCAATTTGTTTAAAGAGTGTCATAATTTGTTTTAGTTTTATCAATTTATATGAATATGAGCAATGAGCAGTGAGTATTTCTAAATAACTAAATTCTAATGAGGATTGTGGGGTGAGAGTGTGAGACAATATTTAAACAAATTAGTATTTTCACTCGTGCGATGCACGGAATGGAATTATTGTAATATATTAAGAATATTTAAATTAATAAAGAGTTAATTTCACCAGAGGTCGCTTATCTTTCTTGACAATTTCAAATTTAATCCTAGACTATAGTTATTAATTATTATGATTTATTCTATGTTATAATTCTTACGTTAATATTCTTACTATTATTATTAACACTTAATTACTTTTAAATATTATTTTTACCACTTATATTATTATTATTATTATTATTATTATTAGTTTCTTTTCAAGTTTTGTTAGTTTATAATGGCCGTGAGGCACACAATAATAATATAATCATAATTAAATATTCTTGTATTGTATTCCGTGAGTCACAATAATAATATAACAATAATTAAATATTCTTCAATTCTAATATTCTTCTAGGATTTATATTACCATCATTAATTATTCCCTAATTTACCATAATTAAATAATTTGACCAATTATAAAGAGAGATTATCAAATAATGCACGGG